CTCTCCAATGCTACCAACGATTTAATCCTAGCTATAAAGCCAATACCGACTCTCTATCTGCGATGTATGCCTCTTCAACTGGTGAGTTGTTTTGATTAATATTGGTACCCAGACTCTAGTGCCACTCATCATCTTACGGCTAATATGGGAAATTTGAACATTCGGAATGACTATTCTAGCACCGATCAAATCCGCACGACAAATGGGTCAAGTCTGCAAATATCACATATTGGTTCTTCCATCTTACATTCTCCTACCCGTTCTTTTAATCTACGAACTGTTTATCATGTTCCATCTATCAAGAAGAATCTATTATTTGTTTCTCAATTTACCAAGGACAACAATGTGGTATTTGAATTTCATCCTACTTTCTGTTGTGTCAAGGATCGATCCTCAAGGAACCTCCTACTCAAAGGCCAGTTTAAGAATGGACTCTATTGTCTTAATAATGCACGTACCACCAACAAGGATCCTCTACAGTCCAATAAATCATCGCCAGCTCCATCCTGCTTCATTGGTGAATGAGTTTCTGCTTCTATTTGGCACGAGTGTTTGCGTCATCCGACTGCTCACATTACTTCTTCAGTTATTTCAAAGCATGGCCTGTAGATAGCTGCTTCTTCCTCATCTAGATTTTGTGAATCATGTCACTTGGGCAAGTCACGTCGTCTTCCCTTTACTAGATCATTAACCTCCTTTAGAAATACTTTATTCTGATCTATGGGGACCATCTCCCATTACGTCAATAAATGGTTTTCGTTATTACATTATTTTTATTGATTCTTACAGGGATATACATGGCTTTTTCCACTTACCGTGAAATATGATGCTCTTTCTACTTTTGTGCATTTTAAATCCCAAGTGGAAAAATATTTCAACCGTAAAATCAAGACCCTTCAAACCGATGGAGGTGGTAAGTTTAAGAAATTTGATCCTTATCTTTGTCTTCACGGCATCCTACACTTATGCCTACACACGCCAAAACAAAATGATCGGGTTGAGCGCAAACATCGACACGTTGTAGAAACTGGCATCACATTGCTTACCCAAGCTTCTATTCCTCGTCTATATTGGATTGATGCTTTCCTCACTGCGGTCTTTCTAATTAATCGCATGCCTACAAGGGTGTTAGGTGGATTGTCTCCTTATGAAAAACTGTTTGGCCATAAACTCGATTATCTACAGTTGCGTGTTTTTGGATGTGCCTGCTACCCTTGGCTGCGCCCTTATACTCGCCATAAACTTGATGACAGAATAATGCAATGTATCTTCATTGGCTATTCTCCTCATCACCGTGGCTATCGTTGTTTGCATCGTAGCACTGGCCGAATATATATCTCTCGCCATGTGGTTTTCCAGGAGCGCTTGTTCCCATTTGCTAAATCAAACTCTGGTCAATTATCCTCACCATCGCCAAGTGCCCTTGTTTGCATTAGTTATTCCTCTATTAAGCCCCCATAGCTTCAGGGGGTGTCCACTACTACATCAATTCCGTTAAGTTCGTCTAATATCATGAGCAACTCCTCATCACAACTTCAACAATCATCCACTTCCACAATTCCATGTGAATCATCTTCTCCAGAAGCTCCACCCTTACCATCTTCTCATCCTCAACCGCCAACTTCTACCCATCAAATGGTCACTTGTCTAAAAAATAACATCTGTAAACCAAAGGCTTTTCTCTCCACTAAGCATCCACCGTGTTCTTGTTTTCACTCAAGCTTGACACCAAATGAACCCACTTGTTTTTCCGTTGCAAACAAAGACCCTAACTAGCAACAAGCTATGGCTAGTGAATTTAATGCTCTCATTCAAAATGGTACTTGGGAACTGATTCCTCATCACCCTTCCATGAATGTGGTCAACTGCAAGTAGATTTATCACCTAAAAACCAAGGCTGATGGCTCCATTGATAGATACAAAGCACGACTCATTGTGAAGGGCTTTACTCAACAGGCTGGCTTGGACTATAATGAAACTTTCAGTCCAATTAGCAAACCGACAACGATTCAAATTGTTCTCTCCTTAGCTGTCACATATAACTAGTCTCTACGCCAATTGAACATCAAGAATGCATTTCTCCTTGGCACCATTAAAGAAGAAGTCTACATGAAGCAGCCCCAAGGATTTGTTGATTCACGTTATAATGGCCATGTATGTTGTCTTCGGAAAGCTCTATATGGGCTAAAACAAGCTCCAAGGGCCTGGTTTTATCGGCTAAGCTCATACCTATTATCTATCGGATTTGTGGCCTCCACTACTGACTCTTCATTATTCATTCAATATAGATCTAACCACATTCTACTTCTTCTCATCTATGTTGACGATATTATCATTATCGGGAGCTCTACCTCCTCCATCACCGAATTAATCACTCAACTTGGCACTGAGTTGCAATCACTGATTTGGGAAATCTATCATACTTTCTTGGCATTGAAGCCCATAGATCCTCTACTGGGCTGTCCCTCACTCAATCCAAGTATGCCACTGCTCTTCTCACTCGTACAAGCATAGCCGATGCAAACCCTTGCTCATCATCTATGGCTTCCTCAGCTTCTAAGTTGTCGAAGCAAAGTGGTGAACCACTGACCGATGCCTCCACATATCGGAGCACAGTTGGGGCACTGCAATACCTCACCCTTACCAGGCCAGATCTACCATTTGTTGTCCATAAAGTGTGCCAATTTATGCATTGTCCAACTATCGATCATTGGTCAGCTGTCAAACGGATTTTGGGCTATCTCAAAGCTACTATTCATCATGAGATTACCTTGCGGCCTATGCGCCAACTGACCTTCACTGCATTTACAAATGCTGACTAGGCTAGCTGCCCTAACAACCAAAAGTCTACTAGTGGCTATTGCATTTATTTTAGTCCCAACTTGGTTTCTTGGAGTTCTAAAAAGCAGCAAATGGTTGCTCGGTCCAGCACTAAATCAAAATACAAAGGGGTGGCTAATGCAGCATCTGAATTACTATGGCTATTACAACTCCTCCGAGATCTTCTATTCACTCTCCATCGGTCACCCCTTGTTGTTTGTGATAATGTAGGGGCAATCTGTTTGGCCGCAAATCCCATCTTCCATGCACAAACCAAGCACGTGGAAATTGACTATCATTTTGTTCGTGATTTGATCAGCAAGAAGCAGTTGGAAGTTCGCTTCATTCCTACTCAGGTGCAAACGGCTGATGTCATGACAAAACCTCTATCCATATCCTGATTTCTTATTTTATGTGACAAGCTCACAATTACTCCACCACCGTTTCGCTTGAGGGGGTATGATAGAGCAAATCTCCTGCGATAGAGCAATCTTTCGCAATCTATGCCAATCCCGTTGATAACGTCAATCTTCTGCAATTTGTGCCAATCCCGTTGATAGAGCAAATCTTTTACAATATGTGATAATATTATAGACTCTTACCTTTTGTAAAGTCTTTTCAGTTGTGATTCTCTCGCTCATGTACATACTATACATATAATACAAATCTCCACGCCGATTAGTGTGTGATCAAATTCAAATTCATACTCTTTCATTCGGATCCAAACTGTCTTTTATTTGCAGTGTGGGTGAGAAGCTTTTATTAAGGGGAAAAGAATGAAAAGGAAGATGAAGGAAAGATGGGATAGTAAGGAAATAAGAGAGAACATGTAGATATCGATTATCGATTGTTTAATCTTTGAAACGGAAGTAAAAATCAAAGAGATGATAGTGAAAAGATATGAACTTCACATTTCATAGGAGTTCTCACAAAACTTTCTTTCTTTGAGCATTAATGGGAACCATGTGAAACTTTCTTTCCAGGTCGCTTTAAGAAGTTCAGATGATGAGCAGTGCTCTTCAGTGGCTGTCCCCAATGACGCTTCCTAGAATTCGATCTTCTGTAGATTTGTCCAAAACAAAGTACTTTATTCTAACTCTAGGTTCTGCCCAGGTGGAAAAAACACAATTTGCTCGATCCCATACCCTCTGGTTTAGAGTGTTATGTAGGAACTCGTGAGACACGATACCCCTCTCTTTTCTTCTTTCCATCTTTCATTTTTCAATTTGGTTGATTGTTCATCTTTAGCACTTTCACTGCTTCTTTTACCAGGTTAAATTGGGAAAAAGGATTGAAGGGTAAGCTTCCTTTTTATCCGAATTACAGCAGATGCTTCCCCAATGTAATCCCATGATCTCGTGTACTTCTGGAAGCATTGAAGTTTTTGTCGAGCTTGACGGGCCATGCGTCACATAAACAGTACGGTTTCTACGTCAGTAGATGATGTCTGTGTGTCTTGCATCGTCAGTGTGTACTCTGATGTGAATCACTTTTAACTGTGGAAAGATTAAAAAACACCGTTGCTTTGCATTCTCTTCTTTTTGACGGACCTCTGATCTTTAAGGTGGAAACTGAAACTCTCTTTCCTTACCTCACTAGTGGGTTCGAACACATCTTGATTCGCGTATCCTAGATTCGACCGCATTCTTATCCTAGAGTATCCTGTGCTACGAATACTGAAAACGTTTAGGACCGTGGGAAATAAAGTTCAGCAACTGGGTTGAATTCTAAAAAATGCAATCTTTCTGTCCCTTGCCGTGCAAACATTGGGATGAATGTTTTTTGAAACCTGAATGAAATTCCTTTTAAATGGCAGCTGCTATATTATGACAAACAGAACCACAACATTGTTCAGAAACAGTCGGATGAATACTGGTTAACTGCACCGTTACAGAAGGCAACTCTTCAAAAAAATTTATGATGATCTCAATGACTACGATGTCATAAGTGTGACCCTCGTCACTTTGAGCGCTTTGTGTTACAAGCTAGATTCAAACACTCTCTTCTGCTGCACCCCTTTTACCTTTAGATATATAGGGGGCCATCATCAGTACTACTACGCCCTTATTCCTGATGCAATGACTTTTGCTTTTTGTCTTCGCCCCACCTCGCAAGCAAGGTACTTGTTCACTATGGCTTTATTCTGCTCAACCTGTATATAAATCCCGGCTTGTGTTATCGTAAATGCACTACTCAAGTCACTTCCCACATCACTTACTAATTTGCTTGTTTCCACTAGCATGGCAGGCGCCCCGGCTCCTCCTCGCACTCCCAAGGGACAGCAGAAGGGAGGTCACCGGATGTTTGCAGCGTCCGATGACAGTGCGATGATGAAGCAGATTCAAGCAACTCATTCTCCTGACGGTCGTGTAGTCGACGTCAAGCCCATTCTCGGCCTCATTGAGAGCATTTTTCGCCATGCTACTCCAGGCATTGATGGAGTTTTGAATGTAAGTACATCATTATTTTCTCTCGGCTCTCTTTTACGTTCTGCCTTTATCCCAGAAACGATAAAAACTGTATTTTGAGAGCTAATGAACGTTCTCTGAATTTTGGAATTATGCAGGGGAAACATGAAGCAAAGACTAGTTCGGAAGAGAAGGCCTATCTGGAGGCTTTTGACGGTGTCCTAGAGGCGTTGCCTTTCATTATACAAAAGATCTCCTGCGAGGTGATATTTCAAGGCTTGAACTCAAAACTGCAAATGTTTCCTGTCAATGTCACGAGGACACTGCATAACTGCATGCTGAAGTTGTTCATTTTCACATCACAAGTAGGGAACTAAAATTTTCTTTCCACGAACATAAAAGGCAGTCATAAGAACAAGAAGGAATTAGCCCAGGTGGTAAACCGTACTTAACTTACTTTCATTGCTTCATGTCATTTTAAGAAGGCGATGATTTCATGTTTTGCAGATATCATGCAAGTGCAGCGGAGGTGGAGATGCCCATGGAACCACGATGGGTATATTCAACATGATATCAGCCTATTCGTGGGATGCGAAAGTAGTGTTGGCACTGGCCGCCTTCGGAGTGAACTACGGAGAGTTCTCACTGATACTCCATCTCTGCCCCACAAACCACCTTGCAAAATCAGTAGCTTTGCTCAAGCAATTACCAGACATGTTGGAGCACTCTAACTCCTTGAAACCACAGTTTGATGCGCTCAATAATCTCATCGTTGCTATGGTGGAAGTGACCAAGTGCATTATCCAGTTCAGCGAGCTACCAACTCAGTACATTTCAGCCGAGACGCCCCCACTGTCAACTGCCATGACCCATATTCCCACTGCAGCCTACTGGACTATCCGCAGCATTGTTTCTTGTGCTTCACAAATTGCTAGCCTGATAGGGTTGGGGAACGAGTAAGCCAAGGATCCTTTATCTAGACAAAATGATTTTGATTCGATTTTGAGATTGATGTTTCCCTTTTTGTGGATTGATTCAGATACATGCCATCAACCACTGAAGCATGGGAATTATCCAGCTTAGCCTACAAGGTCGGTAGCATACATGATCACCTTAAGAAGCAACTTGCCCTCTGTTACCAACATATAGGTGGGAACACTCGGTCTTCATCTTGAATCTTTTAAACTCACGAAGTCAAGTCGTATAATTAATGTATTCTGGAGGATGCAGATGAAAAAAGGCATTTCGAAGCTTATCAGACGCTGGTACGCCTCTTCGACAAGATTCATTTGGACAACATGACCATTCTCAAGCATTTAATCTATGCCAAGGACGACATACAGCCGCTGGTGGACGGCACCGAAAAAAAAAGGGTTTGGTCCTACTATCTTTTACCTCTTCCTTCCCATTATTTGACTCATTGGCCTCGATCTAGTCAATATCTATCAACAGAAATATGACAGCAATTCTCTCTCATTTCACGACAAACAGGTCATCCTTGAAGTGCTGAGAAAGAAGACAGTGTTGCTACTAATATCAGATCTTGAAATTGCCTCTGAAGACATCGAACTTCTCGACCACATGTACAGAGAGTCTCGTTCAAGGCCTGAGAACCAGTTCGAAATAGTGTGGCTTCCAATTGTGGATATCGATCCAAAGTCAGCTGCTTGGGATACGACCCATCAGCAGAGATTCGTGGTGCTGCAGAAGAGCATGAGCTGGTACACTGTCCACCACCCTTCGATCCTTGAACCGGCGGTGATCAAGTACATAAGAGAGGTGTGGCATTTCTCGAAGAGGATCATCATAGTAGCTCTGGATCCACAGGGGAAGTTGGCGAGCCCCAATGCCCTCCATATGATCCGGATATGGGGAACCGTGGCCTTCCCTTTCACCAAGGAGCGAGAGGAAGCGCTATGGAAGGAGGAGAGCTGGAGACTCGAGCTGATCATCGATGGCTTAGACGAAGGGATTATAACAGAATGGGTACAAACTTCATCCCTAACGATCCTTTTTTTTCCCAGAGTTATTCTTAGATATGCATCTTCGAAAACACTCTTAAAAGAGGCTCTGGCAAACAAACTCTGAATGAAGAAAAAATATTCCAAGATAAACCATGGACCAGGCTTTATTTTCCTCGCAAAAAGTAAAGCAGAAGAGGAAGCAAAAGAGGAGTGAGACATTTGATTCTGTAACATATGGCAACGAAGATCTGATTTCATTGCCTAATACTACCGCCAGAGAGACTTAGCACTGCCAGGGGCAACTTTTTCCATTGAGGAAAATGAATTTCCCAGTATAAAGTAGCTCCACATTAATCCTGGTGAATATGATCTGTATCATGTCCCCATGCAGACACATATTGCACGTTGGCACAATGTGCATAGAGTATTCGTGTCGGTAATTAATATTTCCTACTTCTGATCAGATGGCACAAGGAGCATACATTTGCCTATTTGGAGGTGAGGACCTTGATTGGATCAGGAAGTTCACAAACGCAGCCAAAGCCGTCGCTAAGACTGCAAATATCCAGTTGGGAATGTTTTATGTGGGAAAGAGCAATGCCAAGGAGCGAGTGCGGAGAACAGTGACCGCCATCACCTCAGAGAAACTGAGCCACTGCTGGAACACCCCCACATTCTTCTGGTTCTTTTGGGCTAGACTCGAGAGCATGCTCCACTCAAAGTTGCACCGCGGGAAGTCCATCGAAAACGACCCAATAATGCACGAGATCATGACGATACTCAGCTATGACGGGAGCGACCAAGGATGGGCTATTTTCTGCCAAGGTGCAGGGCTGGAGATGGCCAGAGCCAAGGGCAACAATGTCCTGGAGAGCATGGAGAAGTTCGACACATGGAAGGACGACGCAAAGCAGAAGGGTTTCGTCCCTGCGCTGCACGATCATCTAAGAAAGAAGGAGCTCGACACTCCACACCACTGCAGCCGCCTGATCCTGCCTGGGATCGATGGGGGAATCCCGGAGAGGGTCGTGTGCGCGGAGTGTGGCCGTCCGATGGAGAAGTTCATTATGTACCGCTGCTGCACCGAATAAGCAAAAGGTCAAATATAATTACTTGGATGCCAAGGTATCTTGTGATGTACCATCTGGAGGTTATGCAAGATTTGGTTGTGGAAGACAGCGATGCCGGTTGTGGCGTCCAGTCTGGTGTGGTGTTCGTTCAGAGCCTGGCTCTGGCTTTCATGCAATCTATTCGGTTTGTCCCCTTTTTTTCTTTTCGGTTTCCTTTTGCGATTTCAATGGTGTTCTGTTTCGAAGTGTTCAGATGACATGTTGGTGTATGGCTTGACCGCAACTTTCCTTGTACTCTTATGATGATATGCATTTGTGTTGGCTTCAATCTGGCTGTTTAACTTCTGTTAGTCTTCGATTCTATACCTTTGCGTTGGCTTCAATTCAGGACAGGCTTCTTAGTAGCAGTACCTTGGTTCATGGGATTCGTCATCTCATGTGCTGACCAAAGGACTTTCTATTGCTTCCAGTTTGAGCAACTGGCGATTGTTAAATCACTATTAAGCAGGAAACTGTTGTACTTTTATACACTTTGAACAAAACCCATGCCATGCATGGGAAATGTATTATTACACCAGAATTCAATTACATTTTTCTTCAAATGTTCTGTAACATCCTCATTGACGTCTTCTAAACTCATTAATAATATAATATTCTCTTTGGACTTTTTTTACCTAAAGTGGGTATTTTCTTGGAAAAACAGATAGCGTGAGATCAATGCTTTCCAATAACATGCTTTAGTTTTCAAATTTGAGGGAAAAAAAGGGAAACAAAAGAAACGTGAAAAACAAAAGAAAAAAGGAAGAACGCAACTTGTTCCGTTTCACCATTCCATTCACCGTTCACGAGAGTAAACACCGTAAGTGCCATAACTTTTCAACAGTACGATGAAACCATTTGTCTTGATATATGTAGATTTCAGAGCATAAAAAATGGATAAAATCGAGCTTCTTGTTTCTTTTCAACTACTCAACGAAGGAGAAGAGAAGAGACATCCCTCGCTGTGATATCAAAGTTCACATCTATGACAGAAATCTTACAAGAAAAATCAGATTTGGTGATAAAAAGGATCTATTAAAATGGATCATAAATCCATTTCATAACTCATATTTGATAGGATAAGTTATATATGGGTGTTAAATGGGTTAACAACTTACTTAGACTCATTCTACATCTATGACTCTCTCTTCACTCTCTCTTCACTCTCTCTTACCCTCACTCGATCTCGCGCTTGCTCGTTCCGTGCTCTCACCTCAATTTGTGTATAAATTTTCCTGAATTTAGTTAAATACGGAAGTATTTAGCAATATATATAGGTCGGGTCAGATATGGCTATGAGTCGAATATGAATTACTAAATTTGCATTGCATGAAAATGGCTCAATCTGAACCAGATCATTTTTTATCTGGCTCACCCGTTTGACGGGCCTTGGTTGTAAATCAACCAAATGAATATGGAAAGAATGAATCCGGAATCTAATGTGAAAGACAAGTTAGTCAATCCCGTGATGTTTTAGTTAAGCCTTCGCATTGAAAGTTGCCCAATTGCAGATTTCAACGGAAAATGATGTGAAGAGTATTTTCCTAGAAAGCTCGTGATGGGAAAATAACTAAAATAATCCAGGAATAAATAATTTTAAAAAAAAAAAACAAATTATTGAGTCAACGATGGGGACAAATAAGTCAACCACTGCCGGTCGCGCGGTGGGCCCCGCGGTGGTCTTTCCGTGTTTTCTTTTTTTAATATTTTTTTCTTTTCCGACTTTTTCAACACGGCGTGGATTACTTAAATTAGCACCAAACCAACGACCGTTTCCACTTCCTCATACCGCCACCACCGCGCCGCCGACGCGATGGCTCCCGCCGCCGCCGGCAAATCCCGCCTTGCCCTCCTCGCCGCCGCCCTCCACCTCCTTCTCCTCCTCTCCGCCGCCCACGCCGGGTTGAGCCTCGACCGCTCGGATCTCCGGGCCCTCGCCGACGTCCACGCTGCCCTGGGCATCGCCGACGTGCAGAACCGCTCCGCAGCGACCGCCGCCGCCGGTCCCTGCAATTCGCGCGGCGTCGTCTGCGAGCGGAGGCTCTCCAGCGACGGTGGCTCCTACGTCCTCAGGATCACGCGGCTCGTCCTCAAGTCGCGGCGGCTCAAGGGGTCCATCTCCCCGTCCATCGGGCGGCTCTCCGAGCTGAAGGAGCTGACTCTGGCCGCCAACGAGCTCGTTGACCGAGTCCCGTCTCAGATCGCCGAGTGCAAGAAACTGGAGATCTTGAACCTCAAGAACAATCGGTTCGCCGGCGAAGTTCCGTCTGAGCTTTCATCGCTTGTTCAGCTTCGTGTGATCGATCTCTCTTCGAATGAATTTGCCGGGGATTTGAGTTTCTTGAAGAATTTCCCCAACCTGGAGATTCTTGCTCTGTCGGACAATCTATTCACTGGGAAAATCCCAGCTTCTGTGCGTTCATTTCGGAACCTTCGGGTGTTCGATGTTTCTGGGAATGATTTTCTTGAAGGCCTTGTGCCATTCTTGAAAGGAGTTGATGTCGAGCTCTCTGGTTCTCGTGTTCCAAAACGATATGTTCTTGCTGAGAATTCGAGTCTTACAAGTACACGAGGCAATGCTTCTGCTTCTGCAAAAGCACCAGCATCACAATCTCCGTCGCCGTCAGCAATACTTCAAAGTCTTCACAAGAAAAACAAGAGGAAATCGGGTAGGTTGGCGCTTGGGTTTTTGGTAGGAGCACTTGCTGGGAGCATATCCGGGTTCGTCTTCTCTCTGCTGTTCAAGGTGATTGTTGCAGCCATACGGGGTGCAGGCAAAAAGCCAGGCCCTGTGATCTTTAGCTCACAAATCAAGAAAGCAGAGGACTTGGCTTTTCTCGAGAAAGAAGACGGGTTAGCATCGCTAGAGATCATTGGAAGCGGTGGCTGCGGAGAAGTTTACAGGGCTCAGTTACCGGGAAGCGATGGCATGGTTATTGCCATCAAGAAGATCATTCAACCCCCACAAGACGCGACGGAGCTGAACGAAGAAGATAGCAAGGTTCTGAACAAGAAAATGCGCCAGATTCAATCCGAGATAAGAACAGTTGGGCAAATTCGGCACCGGAACCTGCTGCCTTTGTTGGCTCACTTCCCCCGTCCAAACTGCCATTACCTCGTGTACGAATTCATGAAGCATGGGAGCTTGCAAGATGTGCTGAATCAGGTCTCGCAGGGAACCAGAGAGTTAGGTTGGCCTGCAAGGCACAGGATCGCCGTGGGAGTTGCGTCAGGACTCGAGTACCTTCACATGGACCACAGCAGGCGGATAATCCATAGAGATCTCAAGCCTGCGAATGTTCTTCTAGACGATGACATGGAAGCCCGAATTGCAGATTTCGGGCTCGCAAAGGCTATGCCTGACGCGAAGACGCATATTTCGACTTCTAACGTAGCCGGGACTGTGGGGTACATTGCGCCCGAGTATCACCAGACGCTCAAGTTCACGGATAAGTGTGATATATATAGCTTTGGCGTCTTGCTGGGAGTGTTGGTGATGGGAAAGCTACCATCAGATGAATTCTTCCAGCACACCCCAGAAGTTGGTCCGGTCAATTGGCTGAGGAAAGTGATGACTTCGGATAATCCAAGCGAGGCCATCGATCCGAAGTTGATTGGCAATGGATACGAGGAGCAGATGCTACTGGTTCTGAAGATCGCTTGCTTCTGTACACTGGATGATCCGAAGCAAAGGCCAAACAGTAAGGATGTCAGGTGTATGTTGTCTCAGATCAAGAAGTGAAGTGTTGTCCGATGAATAACGCATTTCTCAAAAAATGTAGGTTCAATTATGTTAATGAAGCCACTAAGTTGGCCCTCCAACTCTTGCTTTGTATTCCGTCTTTGAGATCAATCAGCAATTGTCCGTCGTCTTCGTCAAGGATAGCAGCGACGATGGTGCTATGTACTCTAGTAGTGCAGCAATTTCACCACCACTTGTACTCTTCCATCAGAAAATACCCTCTGCTCAGAGTGGAAAACTTTTTTCTTTCTCGTTAGACAGTAATTATCAACAAGCTAAATGGTCATGCTAAGTTCGAAATCGCACCAACGGGATCTCCTATAAAGTAACATACTCACTTAGTTTTGCAGTGCTTACTGATACTGATCACATAGAACAGGAGATACCAAACAGGGACTTTCGAAAGCATGTTTGGCCTCTGGCCTGAATGCACCGGTGCCTCCTCTCCCTGATTCGAAATTGCTTCTTGGTCAAGAAGACTCTAATAGCCCAAATGGACTGACAGAGGAATAAGCTTTTCCCTCTGTGAAAACGTACTTTTAAAATGAGAAACCGATGTCCATGTGAGAGCATCTGAAGAATCCTCACCAGTCAGCACTCAGCTCTGCTGTATCATTGGCCACTCATTGGTATCAAGCAGGCAAGATACATGGGAGTATCATTTGAGGTGTGGATTCTCTAGGATGGTGATGTTCCAGGACTTAAAAAGGAAACCAAACGGGCTCTCGATTTGAGCTGTGCAACCGAATCGTTTCTACCCTGGAATCAAATCGGACCGCCCTGAAAACCTGTTCGATTCCAAGTTCCCATTAAAACCGGTCCGGCTCCCGTTCCAAACTTTTGGAACCAGTGAGAACTGGTTAGATTCCCAATTCCAAGAGAAGAACCGAGAAGGAACTACCGGACCAAATTTGGAACCGGTTTCATAAAACCTATAAATTCTAGTTTTTCTCTCGGCATCTTTCTATCTATCTCTCTCTCTTTCTCTTTCTTTTTCTCTCTAACCTCACTTAGACACTTGAGGACTCTCTCTCGTGACTCACTGTCTCGACCTCGCTCATTCCTTACTCGCCTTTGCTTGCTTGCTTGCCCTCATTCTTCTTTTATGTTAAACCATTTTGTTGCTCATATTTATTTTTTTTATAAAAGATGAAACCAAAAAAAGGAATAAAAGAAAAAATAGTTTCTCAAGTAGACCTTGAAACCGAACTGAAAAACAAGGTGGGTTCCAAGTAAACAGAGTAAATTCCAGGTTTTAAAAACTAGGAACCGTTTCTAAGTTTCAGGTCCGGAACCTACCCACCCTAAAATCAATCATCCCTATCGTTGATGGATACCGATGAAAGAGGGAAAAATACCAAAAAAGTCATAAATCTATTGCGTTGGTGTCAATTCAATCATAAACATTTCAATTGAACCAATTTAATTCTAAAACTTTTTGCATTTGTGCCAATTGAGTCAATCCGGTAGATTTTGGTCAGAAATCACTGACCTGGGCATCCTACGTGGCATAATCAGCTCTAACGTGGACATTTTTTTATAATTTTTTAATTTGTTTATTCTTTTTTTTTCCCTTCACTTTGGCCAATGATGGTTGCTGACAGGGCCGCAAAAGCTCTCGAGGATGGCCTTCGCGCCGTCATCGGCCAAAATGAAGGGAAAAAATTCAAAAAAATTATTTTAAACACGTTGGTATCGGCCATGCCACATAGGATGACCAGAGTTCACGTCAGCGATTTCCGGCTAGAATCTACCGAATTGGCTCAATTGTCATAAATACAAAACTTTTAGAACTAAATTGGATCAATTGAAAAGTTTAAGATTGCCTTGAGACACCAACGCAATCAATTTACGACTTTTTTGGTAACTTTTCCCCCAACGAAAGGAGAAGGATCGGCCAATGGGCTTGTCCCAGTGATTGGCCCAAGAAAAGGGGGCATGTCTGATCCAACATCCTCTTCATCTTCTTCTTCTTCTCCATGGCCCGTTTTCTAGCGACGGGTCCAACATCACCATCATCTTCTTCCTTCTTCCTCCTCCCTTCTTCTTCTTCTCCATCTTCCGTCTTCCCCTTGATTTCTCCTTTGATTATTCTTTTGTCCTTTCCTTTCCTTTTCTTCCCCCCTTCATATCTTCCTCTCTCCCATCCTAACGCGATCGCAAGCGATCTTCGACCCGATACCCGCTCGACCCAAGCACGAAGCTTTTTCGCACTCGGCTTGCGAAGTCGTCCTTCGTCTCTTCGCAGCTCCGAGCTCGACCTCCGATCAGTGCTTCCATGTACTCTCGCTCGATTCCCCGCTCACGTTTGGTCGATCAAAATTGAATTTTTCGTTGATTGAGTGTGTGTGTGCGTGTGATTCGGAGAAACCGAGCTCAACGTGGCGGGTTTTTTGGATTTTGATTCTCAGGTCGCAGGAGGAAGCGGCCGTTGCGGCGATAAGGCATGCTCTGAGGGCCCTGCGGAAGCGGCATTTGGTCGAGGAGGGCGCCCATGGACCCGCCATCGCTGCCCTCTCGCGTCCCATCCTCTCGCAGGTTCTTCACTTCTTGAATTTGAAAGTACCCACTTTGTGTAGGTTGGGTTTGATCAAGTTCCAATATGAATGCGAGCGCAGTAGTTGATACAGAGAAGTCTACTGATATGACAAGGTTTCATCTTTGTCATTTGGGTGGCCAGTTTGAGGCTCTCAACCATGAAATCGGGCTACGGCAAGTGAAGTTGATCAAGAGTGTCTTGTATATTGCCATATACTTTGTTGCCCAGAAGGAAACTCCTGATGCCCAGAAGGCTTATATTGTTTTAGTGATCTTGTCATTGATGTAAATTAATAGTACCTCCAGATCAATGCGGCCCAAGTTTTGTCGTTAGATATTCGTTTGATTTTCTCTGGAAATCAATTGAGTTGGTCTTATCTCTGTAGAGTTCCGAGTGGAAAGAGAAGGCTGAGGCTTTGGAAGTGGAGCTTCAGCAATGTTATAAAGCTCAATCGCGACTGTCGGAGCAGCTTGTGGTGGAGGTTGCGGAGTCCAGGGCATTGAAATCTCTGTTGCAAGAGAAAGAGGCTGCAATGAGTTCTCTGCAACTGGAGTTGACCGATGCAAGGTTCCCTTTATTTAGTGTTTTGTCCTTTGATTCTAAGAATAGGTCTGGCAGTGCTTCGTGGTTGAATGTGGGTTTTAATTATCAGTTCATATGCTGCAGGAATGAATGCTCACAATTGAAGGCAGATTTGGAAGAGAAAATTAAAGCCGTAGAATTGCTTATAAGTGAGATCCAGGAGCTCAAGCGGCAACTGGAAATCATGACTGTAAAAGCTAAGAACGCAGAAGCTGAGAATAAGATGCTAGTAGATCGATGGATGTTACAAAAGATGCAGGATGCTGAACGCCTTAATGAGGTAAAATATCCTTCAAGTGATTGGAATTGGCACCTTGACTTCTTCCGAAAAATATGATTTGTCTACACTTATGGTTTTTGGGATTCACTTTCTCAGAGCTGATGCTTTAGTTGAAAATTTGGGATAATTATTATAAATTATGGTATTGATGCTTACTATGGGTTGATATGTCTCTGGCTAGTTTCATTCATGTCAGTATATTCCCAGTGTACTGTCATTGATACTGATGTTACCCTACTATCAAGTACTTCTCTTTTCTTTTTCAGTTCTCTTTTATGAAGGACAAAAATTCTTTAGCTACAAGAAAGCTGTCTGTATAGGGTAGTGAACTAATAGTGCCATTATGCTGTTCTTCCTCATCTGTGTTGCGATCAGAGAAAGAAGGTGATAACTAGAGTCACTTTAATTGCCGCATGCATTAGAGTCAGCCAGGTATATCATGTTTGGAAAGAATTATTGGTCATAAAGGAATCAAAAGAAGTTTAATAATATTCCTTGCTAAAGAAATCACATTAAACTTCTGGAAGCGGTATTCAATGAGAATTGGGGGCAGGTATTGTAGCGGTGTTGAGTCTTAAAAAGCAACAGAAGCTTGTTTGAAGGTTTGGAAACTTCTGTTTCTTCTGTGTTGTGCTCTTTTATTCTGCTTTGTACGTCTTGTTCAAATTCCATATTGTCTCATGATGTTTTCCTTTGTTTCTTTAGCTTTTCTTTCTTTCTATTCTTGTACCTTTCTGATGTTCTAGAATTCTTGCTTTAATAAAATCCTTAATAAGTTATAGAAAAAATGGAATGGTGTTGGATGTTTCCACTTTAATCTCTTAGAGCATATAATCTTCTTCAACTCTCATGAGGTCCTGTGGCTGACCGAACTTTTGTTAACTATTCAGGCAAATGCTCTTTATGAAGATATGGTTGACCGCCTAAGGGCTAGCGGTTTAGAAAGTTTTGCTAGGCAACAAGTTGATGGCGTGGTACGCCGAAGTGAAGAGGGTGCTGAATTCTTTGCCGAATCAACCGTTCCTTCTTCATGTAAGCATAGGATTCATGCCCATGAAGGCGGGTGTGCTTCTATCGCATTTGAGTATAATTCTGGTAGGTTGATTAGTGGTGGACAGGACAGGACAATAAAAATGTGGGATACAAGAACTGGATCATTGAGTCGCACACTTTACGGTTGCCTTGGTTCAGTTCTTGATCTTACTCTTACGCATGATAACAGATCTGTCATTGCAGCAAGCAGCTCAAATAATTTGTACGTGTGGGATGTTAACTCAGGACGTGTCCAACATACCTTAACAGGCCACACCGATAAAGTTTGTGCAGTAGATGTAAGCAAGTTCTCCAGCCGTCATTTAGTGAGCGCAGCTTATGATCGTACCATCAAAATTTGGGATTTGCAGAAAGGTTACTGCAATAACACAATCATCTTTCCCAGCAACTGCAATGCACTTAGCTTCAGCATGGATGGGCTTACTATATGTTCTGGCCATGTGGATGGCAACCTTCGTTTGTGGGATATTCAAACAGGGAAGTTGCTAAGTGAAGTTGCCGCACATGCGCTTGCTATCACATCCATCTCTCTTTCGCGAAATGGAAATGTAGTTTTAACCAGTGGAAGAGACAATTTGCATAATCTATTTGATATGAGGTCACTCGAAGTTTGCGGGACATTAAGAGCTTCTGGAAATAGAGTTGCCTCTAACTGGAGCAGGTCCTGTATCAGCCCAGATGACGGCTATGTAGCTGCTGGGTCTGCTGATGGAGCTGTTTATATATGGTCTATATCAAAAGCTGATATTGTGACCACACTAAAGGAGCATGGTGCTCCAGTACTATGTTGTTCGTGGAGTGGTCTTGGGAAACCATTGTGCTCGGCAGATAAAAATGGAATCATTTGTACATGGACATAGTGGTTTTGCTCTCATACATGTAAATATGCCTTGGTGACCACGGAATTCAATCCCAGTTTGGGTAATCTTTTGTTCGACGTCTCAGTCCAAGTGGTGCTTGCTTTTCCTAAATATTTGAGCTGCTTCCCTGAGAATATATAATCCAAGTGATTTATATTTACCGTGCATTTTGATATTGTTTCTCCATGGAGATAGGCACTCTCACCTCTGTATATGGGAATGATGCTGGGAAGAGCTATTCTGGAGAAGCTTGTGGATAGTTGGACGGATATCTGTAAATAATGGCTTATTGAAGTTTCTGTGATTCTTTGACTTGTAAATGGGACTTCCGTGCTTCTCGATAATTGAAATTTATTTGGTTCTTTTTCTGTTATTGGCAAGAATTTGTGTAGTGCAATAATTTTTGCTTTAATGTTGTCATTATATGGATGCAGCAGATTTTCTTACTTGTCTAATAGTATTTGAGCATGTAAAAGTTTGCAAAATGAACTTGTGAAAAAGGCTTACTCGTTGTTGGCGGGAAATCACAGTCGGGCTTGTCAAAACCCTCCTTTAACCATCATTGTGATTTCAACAAGCAGGGCGACTGTGACTTGGTCTCATCTTCTCTTAGCAACATTGTGTGGTTTTCTGCAGAAGTTGTCTTGTTGAATCATGGCTATGCAATATGCGTGTTTTCTTTTTGATCCTTCTCTTGTTTCCTTTGATCATGATTGAAATCTGCAGGGAATTCTTTAACACACAACGGTTGACGATGGGCGCAGAAGTTTGGATTAATTCGATGATTGACCACTATCTTGGAGTTCATTGTTCGGTCCACCCCACGGCGGTAGGCTGCTGATACTCAGTTTTATGCGCTGCCTCCTCGAGAGCTTTATAACCCAGGGGAGGTTCGATGGCTTCGATGCGGATATCAATTGAAGCGGGAACAGAGCTCCTTACTCTCACGGGGGATTAGGGGATTTAACGGTATGCGATTAACACTTTTGGTACTGTACTTAACGGCCATATAATTGATGATTAACTATCAGAACCAAGTGTTTGGGATAAGCTCTTCCATCATCGACCATTTCATCATGTTGGATCATGATAACTGCTTGTTCTATATGCTGTGCCTTCCTGTAAGTTCCTAACGAAAGACTCGAAGAAACCTAAAAGTAAAAGCCGCACCAAACAAGACCATGACTGATATCGTCTACGGAGAAAGTTTGAGCATTCAAGTACAACTAGCAGATCAATGGAACATCTTATCCCAATCCCCGAGCCAAAGCCAGAGACGGTAGATAAGACATTTTTATTGCGCTATCGATTGCAGGAAGAAATCAACCATAGCATCTGATGGGGTCATTGCAACCCTTCTCGGTGGACTGTTTGAGGCCTCGGCCGCCTCCCTTCTCGAGATACTGCTGATGGTACTCCTCCGCCCGGTAGAACCTCTTCGCCGGGAGGATCTCGGTGACAATCTTCTTGTCCCCATACTCCGACTGCTTGGCTTCCAGGGATTCCCGCGCGAGGCGTGCCTGGGATTCGCTGTAGTAGTAGATCCCCGATCGGTACTGCGCCCCCACATCACCTCCCTGAAGCATGTTCAAAAGTCAATCACAGGCCGTGAAATCTCAAGATGCAAAACTAGAATGTCAATTGGACGGGAAGCGAGAACTCTCGTCTAGTAGTGTCTGATTCTTGATTGGGAACTGTTCACCTCCCATCCCGACTAACCTGCAGATCATGCAAAAGCTAAGCCTAGAAGTGGTTTGGTCTGGTGGAAATTCCTCAACTTCTCACCTTAGCTATGCAAATTAACATTTCAAACTAGGATTTCGAAGCAACCGTATAGCCCACAGTCAGAAATTTCCAAAGGGTCTCCATGAATTTAGCAGTATTCTCAATCCAAGAACCTAGCACCAAAGATCATCCCTTGCATGACGTGTGCCTACAAAGGACCATCTCAAGTGCTTACGTTCGAAAACTAGCTGATCGTCTAACGTAGGACCAGACCAACATCGGCAGTAATTCTGACTCTCTGACGCGGGCGTGGCTCAGTAGTCCTGACTCCATACTAATACGACCCGACCCGACCCGACCGATAATTTTCTTGATTCCGCAATGTCAACGGCAAGAGATTCTGATTTTGAATGCGAAAGATTATGAACACCCTTCCTCCAATTTCTTGTTAACGCATCTAGTCCGAAACCTCATCCGAATTCAAGAAAGAGAAATGGGAAAACGAAACGAAAGGACGAGAAGAAGATTGACGGTGATCGGGACCGGACCTGGCGATTGAGCGTGGAGGGATCGTGGCGAGACCAGAAGAGGGCGAGGAGGTCGGCGTAGGGGCAGACCTCCGGGTCGAACTCGACCCGGACCACCTCGACGTGGTTCGTCGTCTCGGAGCAGACCAGCTTGTAGGTCGGGTCGGGCACGTGGCCCTGCGAGTACCCGACCTCGGTCTTCACGACGCCCACCACCCTCTGGAACGCCAGCTCCACCCCCCAGAAGCAGCCCGCCCCGAACTGCGCGAGCTCGTGGCCGGGGCTGCCGGGTCGATCGAGGTCCGGGTCTAAGGCGGGGTTGGTGGAGGAAGCCATGGCTGCAGGCGCTGCGCGACCTTCCTTCCTTCCTTCTTCTCTCTCTCTACAAGCGACCAATGTGGATGGAGAACGGATGAACACCAACCCAGAAGGAGAGAAGGATGTTTTAGAATGAATAATGACCCGGCGTCTAACGTGGTTCACAAATTTTTTTATTTATTTAATATAAGTTTTGAAATTTAGCTCGGTATGTAATATAGTTCATGAATTTTTAATTTATTTAATATAGTCTCTGAACTTTTGGTACCTGTTCAAGCTAATACTTGCGACGGTACGAAAATATTCAATATTATCCCAGAGCTTAAATTAATGAAATGACAGTCCAAGGACTACTTTCAATATATACCAAAAGTTCATGGATCACAATAAATAAATTAAAAGTTTACAAACTATGTTGTATATTAGGTTAAAGTTCAGGGATCACATTGAACAAATTAAAAGTTCGAGGATTACATTACACATTAAGTCAAAATTCAGGACCGCTCGTGTCATTTTCCTACTATAGAATGGATTGGCGATGAGGAATGTGAGGAGCTAAGCGGGTTGGATTCGGTCTTCCATGTCGAGACGGGTCGAGAAAAGGGATATTTTTTTCCTTTTAAAGGAACAGGGGAAATGCAAGCGAGTGAATGAGATCACTTATTCCGGTCAAATGCTTAATGGAAAGTCTAGAAGAGTATTTGATGGGTTTTTTTTTTGGTCGAATTCTTTTTAAAGTATTTTTTTTGGTGGAATTCTTTTTAAACTATGGAAAGTGGGAAATTCATAGTCATTGAATAAAATAATATTATTGTTCGAAGACTATCTATTGCTTGGGAGGATAACTTCTTGACCCACCCCATGCGTTAACTACTAAGGGCCTGTTTGGTTCGGCATTTGGGGAAAGTCTTTGGCCAAATGCAAAGCCATTTAGCACAAAGGGCTTTGGGGAAATGCAGGACTGTTTGGCAAACATCCATTGAAAAGTGATTTGGGGAAATGCAAGCTGTTTGGTAAACATATATTTGGAAAGTCCTTTGGTGTAATCAATTTATGTTTTTTTAAATTTAATTGTTTAAAATTGAAGTAAAAAAAATAATGACGGTAACTTTTATATTTTCGCGACGAGAATAACATAATAGAAATATATTCACAAATTTAAAAAAAAAGGAGTCATTTCATTATAATACACATCACATGTCCCTAAGAATTAAATACATTATCCTTAAATATTACATCATAAGGACCAAAAAAACTATAACCTAAAGAGGAAAAACCCAATCGTATGCAGCACATTTTTCAGTTCACGAAAACAGGAACTAGCATTGCTTCACAAGGGCCGAGAGTTGCCTCTCTACTTGGAGAGAAGCAACACCGACAGAGTTCGCAAGCCTCGCAAAATCTAAATCCAACCCAAAAAAAAAAGTTATGCAAAGCGGCGCATCAACCCAAAAAAACCCAAACAAATTCATGACTCTAACACGAATCTCGCAAACCCACAAACAAAACCAGGAGCTAAACAATCATCGCCCACCGAAATGCCCACACAAGCCAGCAGACAAAGACAAAGACAACATTTCAACCCACACATCAGCACCAAACAGTGCCCAAGCAGCTAAAAAAACCCTCAAAACACACACCAAAAGGGCGACCAAGAAACGGACTCAGCCTCATCACATCGATCCCCGACCATGCACACCCACTTCGCCAAACGAAGCAACGAACCGACCCACGACAAACCCGAAGGCAAACGACCCACCCCCACTTCACTACCACTAGTAAGCAAGCCAAATAAAGCCTCAACAACCGCGGAACAGCACCAAATCCGCCGGAACAAGCGAGGAAACGACGCGCCGATCGGCTTCGCCGCGGTATTCCCGAGTAAAGGAACGATCTTTAGCTTCGATTTACTTGGAAAGAAGGCAGCGATTCGCGATTCCGAGCAACCTCGCTGGCTCGCACGCAGCTAAGAAGCAAAAAGGAAGAACTGTTCCTGAGTCGCGGCAAGCCGAGCGAGGGAGGTCGACAAGCGAGGAGGCGACGCGAGGCCGGAGAGTGAGGCGAGGTCGGCGAGCGAGGCGTCGCGAGTCGAGTATGAGCGAGGTGAGCAAGGTGAGGTGAGCGTGACTGAGTGTGAAGACTGGGGCTTCTCTTTTTTAAATGGGCAAAAGTGGATTTTTGAACAAATTTTGAGGGCAAAAAAGGCAATTAACATATTTTCATTAAATGGGGTACTAGCATTCCGAAAATGCTGAAAGCTCAAGGCACCCCCTTTCAGCCTTGTGAAGGCCAACATTTGGCCAAAGAGCTTCAAAAATAATTTGCCAAACACAAAATAATTCCCCCAAAGGGCTTTGGAGGCTCAAAGCTCCTTGGCAAAGCCCAACCAAACACCCCCTAAGAGTGAGGAAAAGGAATCACCCGGATTGGGAAATGCCCAAACCGAGAAATGTCCGGACCGGACAGGCCGGTTCTAGGCCGTTCCCTGGGGCACCAATTCAGTTTTCAATTTCATAAAATTGAAACCGGTGAATTTCAGTCCAATTCCTTGTTTCAGGTGTGGAACCGCCCACCCAGACCATCTGGACCGGATCGATTTTTTTTCGTTTTTTTTATTTCCTAAATATCAGTTAAAAAAAACCCTAATCTATCTTCCATTTCACAAAGGAAGGCCATTCAAGGTTGAAGTGACAACGTTTACTTATACACGTGAGTAAAATGACAATATCAAATCAAAATACAATAGTTGTTGCTCATTTTAACCAAAATTTGCCAGGAATTGGAAAAATCACTGCGAAACCTACATTGTTATAAGTAACACATTGTTTATAAAAACAACTTGATTATTAAAAACATCTTCAATTTCATCTTGAACATTAACGACTAATAAAAAACAAACTGATAATGCCACTGGTTCCATTGGCCTACCCTAGAATTGGACCGCTCAGGAACCAATCATCCCTATTAATTAGGGGTGAGCATGGTTTCAGGGTAGAACCTGGAACCTGAGAACCTGACCGGTGGGAACCTATAAGTTCTAAGTTCCAAAAAAATTAAAAAAACCTGTTTCGACATGTAGGTTCCAGGTTTTGGTTAGGTAAAACCTGGAACCTGAAACATTAAACAAGTTTTTATGTTTTTTCTTAGTCTATATCTTTGCTTGATCCCACGGTATTTCATGACGTTAGACGATAAGTGTATAATCTGTAATCACTAATATGAGTTTTCATTTTATGACTTATTAATGTTTCATATTCTTCATGTCTTTAAATATAAGCAATGGTCAGTAAATCATAGCAGTAAGTGGTGGTCATTAAAGATGATAATTCACTACAATTACTCAATTAATAATATAGATGGAACTTGAATAGACCTTGGAACCAACCCTGGAACCTGTGAATGGTAGGTTCCAGATTTCAAGGTATATAAGGTAGGTTTCAGGTTTCAAGTGAAATCTGTACGGAATCTGGAATCGCTCACCCCTACTATTAATTGATTTATTACTATAAGACGAAGGAAGGTCTCGACCCATGCGCTGAGTTCTATAAGTTCCTCTCTTCTTTCGGACGTGTCTGAATTGGGTATATTTCCAACCCATTAAGACCCATGCGTAGTTGGATATATCTTTGTTCGACCCATTTAAGCCTATTTTGAAAATATCAAGTTAGCGTACTTGTGGCCTGAGTCATTAGTCATTATGTACGAGATAATATATAGGTTCTAGGCCCATTTTACCGCCCCTGATCATATATCAAAACTCGGATTTAATATCAATGCGATAAGCGAACACAAGGATAATCGTGCGCGATATAATTATAAGTTTATATTACGAGTGCTCGATGTGCTTCTTCCTTGGAAAATTTATATTTTCTTTCCGAATTATATGTTTGAGTGCTTTAGTAGTAGTTTTTTTTTTTTTTTTTCGAACTTTAGTAGTGGTTAAATTTCGGAATTGTGGGGGTGGGGGGGAGGGCGGGATTTGAAATGTTCTTCCTGCAATGCCAAAGAAAAAAGCCCATGATGCATTTTCACGGGTCATCCATTTTCTGGCCCGTGATCCAGACCCGACAGTGTCAATAAATAAATAAATAAATAAAATCAAATTCCTACAACTCGAAGAGAAATCAGCACACCAAGAACTTCTCCCTAATCCCCTAACCATTTACACAACAAATCTCGACACGATCACCCAGTACAAAAAAAATCAAAGATTCCTGGCAAGAATCTGCCGGCCGCCATGTCCAAGCTACTTGCCATTGCCGAGCTTGAAGCTTCTTGCTCCGCGAGCGCGACTGGGTCTGCACATCTCCTTGGCTTCTTCCTCGGGAGGCCTCCTCCTCCTCCTCATCATCGTGACCTGCGACAGGGACGACATGGCCTTGGCCGTCACCACCTTCCTCGCCAGCAGCCGCCACCGTGCCTCGTCTCTCCTCTTCTCCTGCTGCGATCTCAACTTGAGCTGCCTGTACGCCACGGACAAAAAGGCGCGAACGATCAGTAGTATTCCCCGACGGTGGAAATTCGTTGCTCCGCTTTCGACAAATCGTGGGGTCTTTTACCTGCAGAGGGGGACCTTGCAGGAGCCGGGCTGGTCGCAGATGGCGGAGTGCAGCCGGAGGAGCCGCCACATGCTCTTGCACCCGTGGCAACCTCCGCTCACCCGCTTCTCGCACGCGGCGAAGTGGCGGATCAGCATCTGCAGCCCCTGGCAGGTGGCGAACTTGCCGCACGGCTCCTTCTTCCTCGCCGCCGCCGCCTTGGTCGGGTCCACGTCGTGCGGGCCCACGCTCGTGCACCCTTCCGTGCAGATGTGCTCCAGGCAGTCCATCGCCTCGCTCAGCTGCAGGTACAGCTCCTGCTCTTCTCTCCGCCGCTTCGCTCTCTTCTTCCTCTGTCATATTTTAATCAGATTCAGTCGCCAATTCTCAGTCATTTCTCAGCGCTATGTATTTGCGACGTAATAATTGATGGCGGATTAGCGTACCGATTCCGATTCGTCGATGAACTGGAGGATGTCGAGCTCGAGCCAGGGGTCGTGGCGCTGCAGGAACCTCCAGCCTTCGGTTTGCTCGACAGCCTTCAAGTGGTGGTACACGAGCTTCAAGCACCGCACGTAGAGCGCCGGCGAGTTGCAGAGCCTCGACAGCTGGAGGACGTCCACCACGTTGTCGACGGTCAGCCGTCGATGCAAGCTCTGGACGCATCTCTGCTTCAGCTGGGGGACCGAGTACACGTGGGCCAGCGCCAGCAGATGCACCTCGTACTTCTCCATCTCCTCCTTCGTGCACCTATAGGCCACCGGAACCCACAGTCGCCTCAGCTCAGGACATAAATTCCCTCCTTTTCTCTTCCAAAATTCGAATTCTCGTATGAACCGGCGTTTCTGGGATCAAAACGACTAACCTGGAGGAGTAGACGAACTCGACGAAAGCGGAGACGGCGTCGCAGGGAACGCCGAGAATCGGAACGATCTTCTCGGAGCTCCGGCGCTTGGTGGGCCTGTATATGAGGTTCTCCAGTACCGGCGACACCGATGCCTTCATTTGTCACGGTATCAACGCCCAAGTCAGACTCGAACCAATCACCAAAAAAGGCAAAAGAACAAGGTTGAACAAGAAGAGGAAGAAGAAGAGCCGACCAGAATTCCGGTATGCGCAGGGATGCGCCGGCCGCCGGCGGTGACGATGAAGACGTCGGGTTCGGGCAATTCCCTGAGGAAGGATCTCTTACCGACGACGCCGTTGGAGTCGCCGGGGAAGTTGGCCGACGTTACGGTGGGGCTGTTTCGTTTGCTTTCCATGCGAATGAATGTCTGGGATTTGTTTGTGGGTGACGCCGTCCTCGGTGCACGTGCGTATTTATGGTCGAAGGTCGAAGAGGAAAACGGAGAAGGGAGAATATATAAAAAAATATTTGGAGGGACGCGTGAACCGACGTGGTTCCTACGTGGCGTTTTGCTCTCACCCGGTTCGATTTGATCAAGAGTGGGAGTCTGACGTGGAACGGATAAGCCACGAAGCGCCTCGTCAGCAAACGCTGGAGGCAGGGCCAGGGAGCTTCCAGTTTCCAACTGTAGCAAGCAAGCAAGCGGCCCTTGGGGGACGCGAAAGAGTCAAAGGGAAAAGCGCGGGTTCCGTGGGGCCCACCTAGTTCAGTCCGACGTGTGATCTCGTCCTAATCCTGAGAATCTTGACCAGTCAGTCAATCTCATCCGCTCCCTCGCTCGTCCTCTTAAGGAAAATGCATTAACGTCATGGTGATGCCAGCGATGCTTGACACGTGGCGGTCCCTTTTACTTTTTTTTCGCGAGAGATTTTGTTGCCGCTTTGGGGAGGGCATGTCCAACGAGAAACGATAAAGTATGATATCGTCGGGACCGACTTTTGTTGTTAAAGATTCCGCGGTGTCTGCGCCGCGGTGCGACTAAAAATGGACACGTTCTTCTCATTGCACGCGAAGCAAGAAATCGAAAAAAGATTTGTTTCCTTATAATTGTTTTTTCCTGATTTAAGATTGTTGTTTTCGATTCACGAAAAACACGTTCCAGTTGATCGATGAGCTTTCGATTATCCAAATACTTCCCTAAAATGGTTTTTCATCGAGCAATTCTCGAGGGTGTGGACACCGGCAACAAACTCCGTATCAAATCTATGACCCCATCAACATGGCTTATATGACCTCATGTGACTATTGACCAGTTACGTGGTCGATTTTTCATGGTGTTCTGACCGTGATGATCTAGTGTATATCGTGGCGTGGACGAACTTTGAAATTAAATGGTGAACTTTTACTATTTTTCTTTTGCTTTTTGCCCGGTTTTGCTATGATTACTTATGCATACGCCCTGCACGTGTCTGGTCCCTTTGTGAACTCTTCATTTTGGATGATTATGCCGAGAATAAATAATAATTAAAGCGCTTATACTCAAGTAAGTTAAACACACAACACAAACACACGACATAGGAACATCAAGGCAGGCCTGAGTTTTTTGATTGCAAGTGCGGGCCATCGTCCAAGCCCGACACTTGAATGACTGAACCATATCCCAAAACGGGCCCATTAGTTTTCTTCTCCAGGGGTCAGTCAAGATGGGCCTGATTCGAATGGCGCATCCACAAGCCCCACTCCTCTTCGAACCACCAACTCCTAGTAGGAATAAGCATAGTTACAGGTTGCATGGCACACGGAGGTAGGTTTCGGATTTCAAAAATCGGAAAATCGATTCCAACGGCATTCCATGGTATTCGATAATGAGTCCATAATCTGGAACTACTAGTTTGAACTTTTAATTCTGGTGATATCCGTGATCGAGACTTTTACTTTGTTAATATTTTCATATTTTTCGTGCGTCTAAATATAAATTGTGATAAATGGATTGGGGCCGCAGAAGTGGTCATTAGATGTAATGATTCGCTTTAGTCGTTCAATTAAAAATACAAATCAAATCTAGATAGATTCTGAAATCTCCGATAGGGTACATTCTAGATTCCGAAGCGTACACGATAGATTTTAGATTTCAAAAATTTGAGAATCGATATCGGCGTATATGTTCCAAGATCAAGGTCAAAAGTCAAACCGGTCCTGGAAACATACATCCCCCAAGTCCTAGTACAACAGATGATGGCGACAGGCATGCCCTGATTTCCGGGGAGACTGTTGCTGCTGCAGTCGACTGCACTGGCCCATTCGCCCCCATTCTCGGTCCTGAGTCTATACACCAAAAAACCAGTCATCGAGGGTCGTAGGCACGGTCGTTGGTTGCACGGTTCGGGCAGGCCTGCATTTAATGCGGCCGAACTGACTGAATTCCCCGCTTATCATCTCTGCTACGCCACTGACAAAAAGTTTTGTTCCTGTGATTCCAAGTCTCGTGAGCAGCATCATATTCACTCACTCACTCGTAAAGGTTCGGTCAAATGGGTGCGCGCATGTGATCAAAAAGCTTGCGTTCTCGGCTATGTCCGCTCCTCTTTCTTCTCCATCATCGCCAGCATCGTCAACACGCACGTCCTGGCCATCAGATTTCCCACCCAAGATAGGCCTAAATCCTCCTCCCCCCCCACCACTCACTGCATGTGCATGCTCGTCCCCACATGCGTGGACCCGGCTTCGACATTCGACCCTTATCATTTGATTGCACCACTCCACCAGTTGCCCACCACGATGGTAATCTAATCACCTGATTTTCCGCATTGGCTCCTACGTTTGATGTTCTCGTTCACACTCGGTCGTGTTTCATTCTGGTTTGGTCTCGTGCCTCGCGGTTTGTCTTGTGCAGAGAAGCAAACCCTTGTCCGCAAATGCGTTGAGGCCCCGTGATGGAGGAAACAAAGGGGTAGCAATCGGGGCCTAATCTTATCTTTTCAAGATTTATCGTTAAAACGCAAAAACAAGACAGCTGACTTGCTTGAGGATCATGAACGCTGAACATGCGTGGAAACTGAATGACTTGCTGGAAGCGCTGACGAGTCTCTTTCACGATGCTTTCTTCTCGCGACCGGCACATGGATGGTCTCTACCCCTTATGGAAGGAGTTGAAGGAATTATTGGAGGAGTGAGGCGAAGAGAAATCCAATTGAAGATTGCCAGCATCCTAAGGCACTGGCTTGGGGGGGCTTAAATCATTTGAGATTATGCCCGCGAAAATTTGCCCTAATCATGAACATGCAATGTCCACAATATGCTTCCCACGGAAAAAAGAGAGATCGAGAGAGATTGTTCTAATGATAGAAAGAGTTCCAACTATAAGTTTTTGAAAGGAAGTGTATTAACCTAATCACCTTGGCCCTCTTTAAAATGGACTGTACATTAGAATTTCCATTCGCATATCGACGTTGTTCATGGTGGTGGGAACTTGATATCGGCAAACTTGTAATTAAAATCGAAGCTTTTATTGTAGTATGAAATAGATATCATCGTCAATATTATAATTAGGGCAAATTTTATGCCCTTATGCGATGTATTTGGAGACTACCCACTTTTTGCCTCGTTATAAAGGTTGCGATTTTTGGTATGAATATAATAAGTTAATGGTTTTTACCTAGAAAAAAAAAAAAGATAAATATATTCATTAAATAACTAGAGAGACTCTATCAACACTGAAGAAAGTATTAAATAAGATTGTTGCGTATATTAAACTACATCTGGATGGTCGCATTTGATGCGTGCCGTGTAGGTCTCACCGTCGAACTCGACAAAATAGACGGTCTAGATGCAATTTACCACATATAACATCCTTTTCAATAGTTATTTTTCATTAGCACCACTCAAGGAAAGCAGGGCGGGAAAAGAGGGCACCTTTGATTTTTCCGACATGTAATTTTCGTCAAGAACATGCCTCCTTTCACTTTTCTTGTTTTCTCCTTTACCTTTTTTTAACAAAGTCCGATTCGTGTTCCCACCTCAGCAAGATCAAATCTCGATGGTCAAAGATTGAAGCTGGGGCAGGCAGACTGACGAGAAGGAAAAAACCCCGAGAACCAACCACGGGGAAATCTGTCTACCATCAAAAGAAGATCAATCAAAGTTCAAAGGCCCCCATGTGCCTCCTCCTGATTTTGTCGTCAACCCAAATCTCCTCCCCACCTTCCTCTTCCATCCAATTTTCAAGATCCTGGGCCCACTTTACTAGACCTCGAACTAGGGGAGAGAACTTTCTTTGAATTTGTACTTTTCTTGCCGGCTATTCAGTTTCACTCGGTGTAAAACCTGTGAAAAAGAGCAGGTTTTGCACAGTACATGGGGAAACAGAGCACGGTCGAAATGTTAATGGTTTCGTTTGTGTCTGTTCTTGTAAGAAGGATACCATGGTGATTTGGGTATATGAGCTACATTACGAAATCTATGGCCTTTGGTTTGAGATTCCCCTTCTTTTCTTGCCCACTGACTAAAATCAGAAGAGGAAATGACGATGCAAATGCAACTGGGTGTTATAAGATAATCCTGTTGATCTGTGTCCGTTTCTCGTGAGAATGATATCAATGGTGATTGGGGATGAGCTAGGCTCCAAAGGCTTTGCCTTTTTGTTCGAGATTCCCTTCTTTTATTCCCCACTAGCTGAGAGTTGGAAGAGGAAGTCACGATGCAAATGCAACTGTTGTGTTATGCGGAGCTAGTTGCTCGTGGAAGATTCGGTTGTTATGTGTAGTTATAGTGGTAGTTGGACTTTCCCTTTTCGCTTTCCATAATTTCTTTTGCGTAGTGGATCAGAGAGAGACAGAGAATAAGCCTTTCTTTATTTGTTTTCTTTTTTGTTTTGCCTCCCTGTCTGCAATTGCAATCTCTGTTTCCGATTGTCCTTGCTCTGTTTTTCTTTGCCATTTCTTGTCGTTTCGTTTGATTAATTAATCTTGGCGTGGCCGAGCTCAGCTTCTACGGGTATGGGGATGTGCATGCGTGCGAGGAAAGCACAAAAGAAACCAAATTTAAATAGCAGAAGACCAAAACTTTAGCATTATATTAATCCAAGATATAGTTTTAGTATAATCAACACTTCTGCGCCTGTTCTTCTCTATGCCCCCCTGAAGATTCTCGCTAAAGAATCACCAGGTAGGGGTCTGAGAGTAACATGCCGAGGTTGTAATCATCAGACTCGAGATACAAACAGAAAAGGAAGGAAAGAACCTAGAAAGAAAGAGAAAAAGAAGAAATGGATAAAGTTAAATCTGGCAGGAGATGCCGCTCTTTCTTGAAAGCTAAAACTTAGGGGCATTCCCATTTCAAATTTTCTTTTGTGGTAGCAAATAATGGTGGGTGGCTGTTCGTGATCATGATGATGGGTCTGTATCAGCAGCGAGAGCCTTTTCTGCAAGCGAGAGCACCGGCATTGGTGGTGATGGTGCCGACCAAGGAGGATGGTCTCGCGCCCAAGCTCGATGCTTTAGCGTAGCTCGAAGAAGCTCCGGCACCAGATGGAGTGAAGAAAGCTCCGTTCATCAGCAGGTCTCCTTCGGACCTCCAGTTCCAGTTCTTCCACTCGCTCTCTGGTGCATCCTCGTGCTTGGTCACCTTCAATGAGTTCAATCAAACCCCATCATTGTCAGAAACAGAGCAAAATGCAGAGGTTTCCTCGTGTTGGGGGACACAAGAAAAGGACCAAGAAACTGAAAAGGCCGAAACATTTTTTGTGAATCTTTGGGAAGAGTTCCTTACCTCTTTGCTGAATCTGTCTTCTGGAGCAACAAATCTGTTGCCTTGGCTATTGATGGTAGGGTTTGCGCTCCCTCCGATGGCATACATCTCCCAATGGGTGTAGTCATTGTTGACCACATGGAAATAGCCATGCCTGCATCTGCAATTGTGCCAAAAGAAAAAAAGAAGAAATCGTCGTGTCAGCGCAGCGCAGATTGAAAAAAAAGTGAAATGGGTCGTTGCTGGTCGGGACATACCTCGGCATTCTTTGGACAAGGCCTTCGCCGAAGTGGTTGAAGGCAATGGTGACCTGCATGTTCTTGTCCTGGGTGTAGGTGTCGCTGTGGCCGAGCAGCATGACCTTGTCGTGGTGAGTCATGTAATTGTTGGAGATGGTGATGGCGGTGGACCCGTGGATGGCGTCGACGAGCCCGTCCTTGCAGTTGGACAGCGAGCAGTGGTCGACCCAGATGTGGCTCCCGCCGAAGATGGACACGCCGTCGCCGTCCGAGATCGTCCGCCACCCGTAGTGCCGCGGCGAGTCCCGCACGTTGGCGTTCCCTCCCTGCTTGCAGTCGTGGATGTGGAGCCCGTGAACTATGATGTTGGTCACGAACTGGATGGTGATGCACGGCCCGCCGGCAATGTGGACGCTGGCGCCGCGACCGTCGAGGGTCTTGAAGGAGTTCATGATCAGCTCCTCCTTCAGCTGGATCGTCATGTCGCGCTGGAAGATGATCCAGAGCGGCTCGTCCTGGATGACCGCGTGGCGGAGCGTCCCGGGCTTGGGGTTGACGGGGTCGTCGTCGCCCGAGTCGGTGACCACGTAGATCTCGCCGTCGCGGCCCCCGACGGCGTTCTTGCCGAACCCGATGGCGCAGTCGGCGAGGCGCTGGCGGTTCTGCTCCCAGTTGGGGTCGCACCGCCAGCAGTCGTCGATCGGGTTCCCGGTCCCGCAGGAGAGGTACCCCAGGCTCCTCCGATTCCTAGTGGCATTGGCGATGCTCCTGCAACAAAGAAGGCGCCACAAACACTCCCCGTCACATACTGCAATTCGCAACATTCGGGATCTGAAACGAAGCCACACGACACGACACACACACGACACGAGGACGCTTACTTGTGTACTTCCTGTACTACCAGCTCCGGGTCCTGGACAGGGGAGGAGGAGATGGGCCAGGGGGCGAGGAGAGAGGCGAGGAGGAGGAGGAGAGAGAGCGCGGGCATTGCTACCGCCACCGCCATTTCCGTCCCTTGTCTTCTTGCTCTGTTGCTTTCTCTTCTGCGTGAATGAAGAAGAAGACAGAGCGAGAGAGCGAGAGAGAGAGAGAGAGAGTGTGCGTGTGTTTGTGTGTTTGTGAGGGAAACTGCATGGAGGGGGAGCGGCCTTATAAAGAGGGAGGGAAAAGCGCGGGTGGGGTGTGGGGGGGGTGGGCGAACATGGCGTGATTAAACTGCAAAAAAGGGCCGCCGCCGGGGCCCACCGCCCGCCTCGTGATTTCTGGATTTACGGGATTCCGTTCGGGGGTAAAGTCCATCCATCGGGCCGTTAATTACCAGACCCGGATCGAGGTTAAACCATCATCACTGTCGCACTACTTTACGCCATGCTTATTGCTCCGGAAGTTAGGAGGAAAACAATTGGAAAAAATGTAGGCTTTGCCTATATGTCCGAGCTCTCCATGTTGGGTCAATTTGTTTTTGTTGCCCCAGCTATTGGTAATACCCTCTAAATATTTATGTCCTAAGGTTCGAGTGTAGCCCTTTTAAGGACATGCTAAGGTAGGATGTTCGAATTTTGAGAAAAATTTGGAGTTTCGTGTGTTTCCTCCTTCCTCTCGTTCTTGCTGTCCTAGGGTTTGGACAAGACATGGTCCAAGAATTGCTTCGTCTCTTTTTCCTGCAATTGCATGTGTCACGCCGTACTGAGGAAGCCGGAATGGCCCGTCGCGCCTTTTTGGTGGGTGGGAGAGAGAATGATTGGATGAAAAGTGGGCAAGTGGCCAAGAAATTTAATTTGCGGGGGCAGTCAAGCATGCCTTTTGATTTTTGTTTGATTGAATAGGTGTACCCTAGACTGATAGCATGGCTACATGCGGAGACAGCAATACCACCTAATACGTTCGTCCTGTGTCGAGCGTTCGCTATAACGGTATTACGTGTCGAGATGCACGCGCGAATTATGTAAAAAAAATCAACTCCCGTATCGTAGGATTGATAAGTAATCATAATTAGCCCGTATTTCATTTGATTTAAGTTTTTGAGTTAAACTGGATTGAACCAAATATTTTGACGGATGTGGGTTCTCACCTTGGCAATATCCCCACGTGAAGTTATCAGGATTTTTCCGCTCGCTCCCAACATTACACGCACAGTATCCTGACCTCGCGGCACAAAGGGGACCCTGCTCATTCTTCTTCCCTAGATGAGTAATGGATGGAGCTACGCGACGTGTCATCAAAACCCGACCATTCCATTCTTACAACCATCTGAAAACAGAGCAATAAATGCCTAGCGTTGTTTCTTATATCGCCAAATACTAAGGACATGGCATTACCCAAGAAATCGGACGCTATAGGTGGGGACATCTCCATGCGTACGTCGCATTCGGGTACCACTGAGTACTAAAACGTTATTCCTTCGATCGTGTAACTTTTGGACTACATTGCCGACCACATTTAGTTGCACTTGCGGATAATAACATATTCCCCGATGCGAATAAGTTCAAGAGAATGGTGATCGCATATGTACTGACGAGTCCATTGTGTTTTTAATGGATGATGCACCGACGAGATTGGAGAGATTACATGGGCCCTTTAGAATTCTGCCATTGTTGCCCTGTGTTGTAGCTCGGGAATAGTTTCGTATGACTCAAATCACGTCACGGGCTTATGAGAATTGGGGGTGTAAAGAGAGTAGGAATTGCAATCGTGATGAGGAAGGCGACTTGTTGGGGAAGAGTTCAATGGAATGCGGTTCGTGGGTCGATGGGTGTTAGGATGTGATTCATACCCCCATCGACAAAAAGCACGTGGGTCTCGCTCTGGATGTAGCCCTAGATTAAGGGTGAACAGCGATAAAATCTTATATATAGAATTTTCTTCCTTGCTTTTATTCTCTATTTCATTATGTTTGTGCATATAATCCTAACAACGGAGATTGATTCTTTTTCGAGACATTTGAGTTTGGACAAAAACAAGTAAGTCGATTCTGCAAGGATTTGATAGGTGCTATAGAATTCTATGGCCCCCATTAGTATCGGAAGTCCAGACGAGAATCGTCCGGTGATTGACTCTGCCGACAATCATCTTGATTGGCATATGTTCTAGAACAAAAGGGGTGACGGAGATATACTCATGTGTACTTATTTCTCGTGTTTTGTGTATGTACCGGACACTTGGGGCAATCGGTTTCAATATGGGTAGGTTTCACCCTGCTAGGGTTGGTTCTTGACTTTTTTTCTAACCGAGAACCGACTCTATTGACCATGGAACCGAACCGGTTCGAGGGTCCGAGGTGAACTCAAGAACCGATCGGGGCTTCTTTTTGTCTTTTTTTTTTCGTCATACACAATATGCATGTGTCGAGCATATATAATTTCAACAAATATTTTCTATTTGAAAAAAAAAGAGAGAGAAAAGAACTTACTTAGATTTTGAGGTAAACCGGTTTAGATCCAAGTTCTACCCTTAAGCCGGCTTGGCAAGTTCTAGATTCCCGAGTAGAACTAGTCGATTCGAGGCATGCAACCGGACCGGTCCCCTTGTGAACTAACCTTGAACTAGCCAGATAAGTTCGAATCTCGGGTTGAACCGACCCGGCTGCTTCATCTTACTCGATACTCGTAACATTTGCTCTCGCGTTATTGTATTTCTCAGAAATAATAATAAAAATATTTATTGTTATAAATGCATTGGATATCAACATCCTCGTGACAGCCGCACATGCAATTGCGCTCGAAATCAAACACTCCCATCTGATCTGTAGGTCCGCCCGTGGTGTCTCCATTTTCCACAATGTATTGAAAGCACTACAATTCGTTCATTTTGATTTATGTTTTTCTCTTTCCCCTTTTTGCGACCGCAAACTTCGCCGGCATTTGCAACAAACAGACCTTGCTGACATGGCACGATGGCAGCCTCTCGTGGCGCCAGCTGTCCGCGTCCTACAGCCGACACATGGCCCCTGATGGAGGCCGCAGTATCCGGTCATTTCGCTGACTCTTCGGCCGTTGTTCGTTGAAAGCTACGCCATCTCGCCAGTTATATCGGCGCTTCTTTTGTGGTCGTGGGGCCCGAACGGACATGTGCTTGATTTATTTTTCTACTTTTTTTATTAGCTATTCTCTCTCTTTCTCTCTCTATTTTTATCTTTGGCCAAATTCACAAAATTCAATTTCTATTGCACAAAAATGAATATGTAACGGAAAGACCTGTCAAAATAGGTCGTAAATGATGGGCTGGGTTTCGACCAAAAAAAAATGATGAGCTGAGTTGTTATGTGGGTTAATTATATTCAACAAATGGGTTATAAATGAGTTTAGACCAAACTCTATTGGTCATAAATTGGTTTAACATGGGTGCTAAGTAGGTTCATAACTTATTTAGAGCCAATTCACATTTATGACTCTCTCTCTTGTCCTCGCTCAATCTCACGCTCGCTCCGTTCTTTTACCTTAGTTTGGATAAGGTTTTTTCGAGATTTGATTAAATATAGAAATATTTTAACAATATTTGTTGGATCCGGTATATGTTGCATGAAAATGGATCGAAACGGGTTACATTTATCAATTCGGGCTGGATCATTTTTCGACCCGACCCACTCACTTGACAGGTCTACTAATTGATTGAATTCGTGGGTCTTGCGTGGATAGTCACGAGTAGTAATGTGATCACGAAAACCAATGACGATCGTCGATGAGATTCAAAGACCTGTTCGTTATCTCTGTCGCCTCTCGCTTTCACGATAGTCTCGGCTAAGTCGGACCAAAACATTCTCGCGCTCCAGCCGGGTCAAAGGCTCGAACCCAACATCATATAATCGATTTTTCAAACAAGCAATCTCTGTGGAATGACACATGTGCATGGTAAAATGGCTACTCCCGCTTTAAATTCACAGGTGCAAAGCGATAAAAGTCGCTCGCGAGCGAAAGTTACAATCAATTCATCTTAAAAAAACAAGAGATTTGGGGAGATCAACCCAAATTTCGCATGTTCCCTTGTTATATCACGGACCGGAGATTCTCGCCGTACGCGGCCATCGGGGCCGTCGATTTCGGATTTGAAGGGGGACGAGAGCCGTCGATTCGGGATCCGGGATTTTGGCGAGAAGCAACCTCGGGACAGGAGCCACGTGGTGGGGCCCCCGCCATCGAGCAGTGGGGGGTTGGGGTGGAGGAGGGGAGGGACCAAGCGAGGCCGTGTTAGATGATGGGCCCAATGGGCCGCGCGCGCCTGGCGACGCGCGAAAGCTACGCGGCAACCCCCATCGACCGCTCGATACGTGGCGCCCGGATTCCCCGCCACGTGGCGGACTCCGGGACACCTTTTGCCCTCCCTGCACATGCAGGTGTCGTAATCACATCTCGTCGAGGTCGGGAGGACCCCTGTCGTGTCCGTGATTTTCATTAGCCAGTAATGATGAGTCTTGGATTCGCCTTTATTCGCTCCTCCTGATTTTTCTCTCTAAAATTTTTTTTTTTTTTTGTGGGGTTGGGTTTTGCTCAGAGCCAAAATCAATCCCTAATGGCTAGATCTGGCTTTTTGATTCGATATCCCACCGACAATTTCTAATTGGGTGAGGCGGAATTGCACATCTCGGTCGTTTAGAATAACAACTTTTTTTTTTTCGGCACTTTTGTCCCATGGAGCTATTGGAAAGGTGAGAGGATTAGGGGGCTTAATCGAATCGAGCAAAGGAGGGATTGGGGACGAATCGGCCCGCGATGGATGGAAAAGCTGTCGAGTGGCTAACGTTGCTTTCGCACGGCGAGCGAAATTGGGGGGGTTTTGCTTTACAATTTTACAATCCGGATATTTTGGCAGTTAGAACAAGCGCACGAGCCGCGCGCGCATGCCGACCAATGAAAATTTGACAGGCTAGTGAGCTGGGGGCGGGCTTTTGAGACTCGGTTGGCCATTTTTGGGGCCTTATTTGATATATGATCCAATTTGATGACTCTTTTGAGAAAATTGCCCCATTTTAAGGTCCTATTCAAAGTTTTCCTTTTTGTTTTTTTTCTCCAAGTTGAGATATATTGCTTTAAGATTCATAATTATATGTCGCGAGCAACGAAAAGACGGCATATTTGGAATTTTCAGGAATCGATGTTAAATCATCTACCCTTTTAGTA